CTTTCCATGGTAACTATACAAATGCTGGCGATGGTACGAGTTGGCGGTAAGTGAAACCAAAGTGCTAGAGGAGAATCTTATTTCTTTTCTTTTCCTTTTTTTTAATGCAAACCAAAATTAAGAAAGAAAAAAAAAATCCATCTGCCATTTCACATTAACACTACAAATGTGATTTGACTTGTTGTCCCACCCTTTCCTATTTCCCCACCCCCTCCCCTTTTATTTTCGATGCTGTTGAGTAATGCCCGCCTGGACTTTGGATGTACATATACTGTTTTGTATCAGTCTGAGCTGTTTGATTACTGACTTCCTGGTGACTTCCTTTGCACATCTTACTCAGAGTTACTGAGCTCCAGTTTGGCTGGTTTTATTAATGCACCCGTACCCTTCCTCTCTCTTTACCCACCCCCACCCCCTTTTTCTTTCTTGCTCTGCCTCTCCCCAGACCTGCGAGTATGCTCTCCCCCCCCCCTTTTTTTGTCCCCTTCACTCAGTTAAATGCAGCTGTTGGTCTCTCTTTGCTGACTGGTGGTTTTTGATTGGTTTTGGCCCTTTTTTTCCTTTCAGTGCTTGTGTTGCACTCTGCTGTAGCAGCTGATTTCAGGCACTCGCTCCATCTTAATGATTGTCTCTGAGACCTTCTTCCTCTTCCCCCTCCCTCTAGCCCCATTAATCAATTGTTGTTGTTGTTGTTGTTTTCTTTTTCTTATGTGTATTATAACAGCATGCCCTCAGTCTCATCATTGTTGTTTCCCATTCTTTCTTTTTAAATGTGTAATGTTTATATTATTTGAGGGCTAAAAAACAGAGTAATGAGATTCCAGGCTTCCTTGTCCCCTGCCAAAGCTCACTTTTCCATTAAGCAAAGGGCACTGGAAACATCTCTTTAAAAAACAACACAAACTTTTGACTTGAAATTTGCATTGTGGCATGTTCCTTCTGTTAGGGTTTTGGAAAGTCACTGATCCTAGCTTAGCCTCTTACCCTCCTTGCAAGAGCTCTAAGGCTGTGTCTGGCACAGGGCTGCAGTCATTTGGCTTTGCCCACCCCTCCCATATTTTACCAGCACCATCTCTGCTCTAACACTCACTTGCTGTACTATTTAAAATGCTTGGAGCTTTAAAGAGCTTCTGTATTGAGGGGGGAGGACGCTGGGAAATCAGGAGGTGCCTTGTTAACTTTCCGAACAGGGTGGCATTAGAGGTTCTCCCTCCCCTGAAAAGTTAGCAGCTGGGGATAGATCCCTCAGTGAGTCAGTACCCTGAAACTGAGATGCAGGCCGGCCAGCCTCGCTTAGGAATCCGAAGCTCTTTAGGAGCAGATGGAATTAATCCTCTAGGCACCTGGGTTCCATGTTATCCTCCTCCTGCTGCCCAAATACCTGTTTCCTCGGTAATATTAGTAGGCCATTGCAGTTCAGTGAAACACAACCAGAAGATGGTAACAGAGTTGTTTTTGTTCATTGCTTCATACTTGTCAAGCTGGGCATGAAGAAGGGAGCAACAGGGGAGGCTTTGCCCTTTGGATCAGTGAGCAGCAGATATTGGGGTTCAAGTCAGAGGTGGCAGGGGTGCCTGAGAAGATCTACTCTTTTTGGCCTTTATTACATAACTAAAATGCCACAATTAGACCTGTTACAATTTTAATATTTAATGATAAGTTATAAAGTAGATTTAAATATTTCATTTTGAAACTACTTTTTTCTTTTCTTTTCCTTCTTAAAAAGCAAGAAACAATTTTCGCTAAAATCCTGTGTTTCCTTCCTTCTCCTCCATATCCCATTTTTTAACTTTTAGGTTAATAATGCTACAGCACGAGTGATGACTAATAAGAAGATGGTTACACCATACGCAAATGGTAAGAGGGAATGCTGATACTAATAATGAACGAGAGAGATTTGAGGGAAGGAATTAATTGTAAGCATATGGGCTAAGTTCTCTCTCTCTCTCTTCTGGAGTTTCAGTATAATGAAAAGCTTTGCAAAGAAGGGGTTTCAAAACCTTCTAAGTCTTGAGCATTAAAGTAAGTTGATTGTTCTCAGAGTGGAGGCAAGTACCCAGTAGTCCCTGTTTAGCTGTATCGGAAGCTGCTACAGTAAAAGTAAACATATCTCAGAAGTTAAATATAGACTAATAAGTCTGTCATTAGGAAACCATGTTTTGAAATTGTTAAATTGGTGAGAACTGATCTGCACAGAAACTTCCACTGCTGATGGGCAGTGGCTGTGGGTGATATGCAGGCACGCACAATTAAGAGTATGCATGAAGCTTTCGATACCGTTTCCTGTTCAGAATCTCTCTCCCCAAATTTCCAAATAGCTTTAATTTGAAAATGTTCAAAAAGTGGTCCAAAGGTTCAATACAGGAAGATTCAGAAGTAGTAGTAGACAGTGATACTTATGCGGGACAGCAGAGCTGCCATGCTGAATCAGTCTTTTCTTTTTTCCAAAAGGCTTTGGGAAAATTACAATGTCAGGGCTGGAAGTCTGAAACCCCGTTACCATGGGGTTTATGAAACTTAATAATGAAGGAGCAGTTCTGTCCACTGGCTGCTGTTCTTTGTCATGGCTCAGATTTATGGGCAATCCATAGTTTGCTGCTACTTTGGTGACCCTGGGGGATCTTCAGGCTTGCACATCCCCCCTTCCCTTGCTAATGAGTTATTTCTGTGTCCAGACAATATTTTGCTGCAATAGTCAAATCATCACAAAAATAAGTGGTAGCTGTCCATACAGGTGAGGAAGAGAAGGTGGGAAAGCATGAGCCAGAAGACCCTTTAGGCGTGTTCACATGAAAATAAACAGTCCTTTGCTGTTGTGTCTGAATGCATTAACATTAGCCTGATAGCTCAGGATGAATGCTCTTGCTTGGCAATGTGTATGTTATGTTGACAGTGTGGCATCTGAGCATGTGATGATGGCGGCTTTCATATTTCAAAATATTTTCCCATTGAGCTATACTGGCTTCTTTAGAGTAATTTTGAAATGGACACTTTGGCTTTTGATCTCACTGAAAATACAGCAAAAGAACTGGTGTTGACCTGGAAGCCCACCATACAGCTGCTAGTGTAAAAGTGCCAATTGATGGTTGAAATAATACTTGAGGCCCAAGATGTGAGTTTTCAGTCCTGCTGTGTACCCTGAGTATTTGTTGGTACCATGGACAAGTCACTTAATCTGATGTTTTTGTAATTTATTTTATTCCTCATAAAGTAGGGGTTAAGTCTTGCCTCCTACAAATGGTGGAGGAAAAAAATGAAAGTTTAGGAAATAGTTTTAACATCTAAAATGCAAAGCAGGATACAAATGGAAAGTGAAAGCTGTCATTTGCCAGTCTAAGTTTAGAAGGGTGGTATCTTTAAACTGAGTTAATTGAGAAAGGTATCTGCTTACGAAATTCATATGCTGTTTGCTTGGCTGGGGGCAGGATGTCAAGGGTGGCTGTATGTTTTACTTGGGACTGTAAAAAGTCGGCTTTAATTGCACAGTTGAATTGTACCAATGTCTGTCCAGGTTCTTGTGCTGAATCCTTTTCTTATCTATTTTCCGTTCAGTTTGTTCAAAAACTGTGCTTATATATCATACCTCACCTCCAGCTAACATATTGAGTGATATTAAAGATGTCTAGCTGTGTAATACTGGTATAATAACAATTGATTGGCACAGTAATGAGATAATACGGAGAACAAGAAAAACTGAAAAAGTGACGTTTAATATATGTCTTTAAAGAATCATAGAAAAGTGAACAAAAATAATATACATAATCATAGAAAAATATATTGACGGTGATCTCCGGAATGTCTTGCCATTTCGAAGGAAGATCTTCTTCCTCTGAACAAAGATGTAATTATGTATATTCTTTTTGTTCACTTTTCTATGATTCTTTAAAGACATATATTAAGCGTCACTTTTTCACAGTTTTTCTTGTTCTCCGTATTAGCTGTGTAATACTGCCAGTAATTTGACTGTAAATTTTCAGGGCTGATGCAAGCAGGGAAGTGCAAAGTTAACTGTATTAAGCTATGTAACAAAACTGGATCTTTTCTAAAATCTGCAATGAAAAATCTGTAGGTTGACCTTGCCTTTGAGTTCATTAGAGAAAATATTCTTTTATTATTCCGCCGGGTATGCTCAAATATCATCATTTCACCTTCCGAGGCCAAAAAATGAACAGTCTGTGCATCTACAAATATACATCTGTGTGTAGAAGAGCCAATTCTCTGTATTTATGACCCTCATTTGCATTATACGGATAGAGGCTCTGGAGATAAAGGGTTGGGGCTGGCGCAAATAGAGGCTGGCTTCATTCTCACTGGCTGTCATTGATTTTTTGGGAGACAAAGTACATAGGGCTGCAATCTGGGACATAGTGCGGAAAATAAAGTTTGGCAGTTGGGTACAAAACTTATCCAAAACCACTAACAGGAGCATTTTGAGAGGTGATGCAATGTGCGTCTGTGCATGGAGCTCCAATGGCACACTGTGTGTGTAAGACTATATAGGCCCTCCCATCTTTCATGAAGACTGCCATTTTTACTGCTTATAACTGAAACAGTTCAGCTGGCCAGCTTGCATCCGGTACCTGGGTTGTCCAGAGTTGTAGAGGTATCAGTGCAGATCACTGTGTAGCAGAACACACAGAAGGGAATTGGCTGTCTTTCCCTCCAAACCCTCCAAAAGGCCAGTCGTGAGAATTGGGGGGCCTGGAGAAAGACATCCAGTGTGATACAGTATACAGTGGAAAGTGAGGTTGTTGGTGAAAATTGCCCCCTCACCTGGTTTTTATTCATATGGAGTAGGAGCTCATGCAAGTGTAGGGAGGAGGGACTGTTTGTGCATACTTCCCCCTCCTTCCCATTGCAGCCTCCCTATATCACATCCAAGGGCAGCTGTTTGGCAGGCACAGGGGGTGGGGGGCTACAGAAAGAAGAACAAGGTGGCAAAGGTCTCAGGGTCTTTGTAGTTTTCTAATGCTTTAGTTCAGTGATGCATCTTTGAAAACAAAACTTTCTAGTTACCCAGCTGAACGAAGCCATTTTTATCCCAAAATTTGAGACACTTATACAGAATTCTTTAAGAAATGTGGTCCTGGAGTGCACTCCTAGCACTGTAATATCTATAGAAATGAATTGTTTGCATGATGTATGGAAGTTAATTTTTTCATTCACATTTAATCAAAGCATATTACATACTCAGACTTCTTTGCTCTATATGCTTCCAGTTATTAGCAATGCTGTGGTAAGTCTACAGGCAGAAGACGCCTAGTGTAGATGTATATTCAAAATATAATGGATTGGGAAATCAGATTTGGAGATTTCAAAATGAGACCGTGATGACTGTTGTAGTCAGGGTGCAAGAAGAATGAACCTACATTTTGCAGGAAATGTGATTTTGAACACATTTTCCAGAGGGGTGTGTCCCCGCCCACAGTGACATTTTTAAAAATTGACTGTGGGCAGATTTCAGCACATACGGAGACTGCAAAATTTCAACAAAATCCATGTTATGTTGAATTTGCGAGGAGTGCCCCGAGTATGGATTATGGAAGGAATTCATGCCTTCAGTACAGTTGTTTTTGCTTCCTTAGGAAGACTGCCTCACACTTTGGGAATCTCAGGCAGTACTTTGTCCACTCTGCATTAAAACTAACAAAATTAATAATACTTAACGCTTGTATAACATCTTCAGTGTTCAAAGTTCTTTGAACACATTCTCTTGCAACCTACTGAAAGGTAGGTCAATGCTGTTATCACAGTCCTGCATATGGGCTGAAGCTGGGAGAGAGCCTGGTGAATTTTTGGCAGTGGTTAAATTTGAACCCAGATCACAGATCATTCTTTTAGATTTCAGGAATTCTTTTTCTTCTTAAAGTAATACAACTGGAAGGACCTGTATGATCTTTTGTCAGGCTTTATACTGAACTAGACTCTTTGTTTGCCTTAATAGAGTAGTGACTCTCCAAAGCTCTTAGCAGAGGTTTGTCCTGACTCTGCTACCTGATATCCTTTAGTCAGAGAAGCCAAGAATAGGACACAGAATCATACCCTCTTAACACTGAGCTGGGGCTCCTCCTCAAAAGGATGTACAAAGATTCACTTTATTCTGAGTAATTTATTGGTCATCTAGCATAGCAATATCCATTTGGTTTCGCATCAGGTTCCCTGGATATTTGGCAAAGGTGTTTGCCAGCACTGCTACTAATTGGATATGAAAGTAGATTGAGATTGGGCCATAAATGTTCCCTGGCATTGAGTTACAGCTTCTCATGTGGAGCAGCAAGTGGCAATGAAGGGTATTAAGGCTTCCTACCTGACCTCTGGAAATCCTATGATGTTCCATCTAATCTAGCACTTTTGTCTCGAGCAGTAGACAGTCATATCCCCACTTTTGTGTGTGTTCTGCAGATAAGACTCACAGATCTCATTCTTTGCTAGGCCACCAACTCATTTGTGTCAGGTTTTGTGGCATTTTTGTTTATGATTCTGTTTCACGTTAAATATTTTTTAATTATATTGCAAACACCTTTTTCAGGCAATCCCACAAAGGCACAAGAAACATTTTCACCCTTTCAAGATGAAGTGTAGGACAGAATATGTAATCGTTTCTTAGAAATGTATTTGTGCATTTTGGGCTTTTTAACTTGCTTATCAGCACGATTGCATTCCAGCTTTCTGTAAACTTTCAATAAGCACAGCTGGCCTCTTTGAGAGGTAGCAACAGAGGCTCTTATCAGCCCATTTAAACCTGATCAGTGCATAGCTTTTTTACAACTCCAGTTATATTGTTAGATACACTCTTTTGAAATAGGGTTTGTCTTGGTTAATATAAGGAGTTGCATTAGACCAGTTCAGAAACCTAGACCATTTGTAGAATAGTAGGAGGGATGTGCCACCGTTAATATCTATCTCGTTGTTTTGGAAGACAAGTGGATAGGGAATGGATCAGATACCGTTTCCCTAATAATTTAATCAGAATGCCCCTCATGCAACTGTGTATAGTAAGTGAGGTCTCATATGACAGGCTTTCACTCTTGTTCCTATGTCTAGTTATTACCAAATGCTGTCAGTCTGAGAGGGACATCTCCCTGTCATGTGCTCAAAAGGTCTCAAGCACCAGTTTCATAACTTTCAAGTTCTTACAGTGATAGATATCACAGTAGTAGTTTTAGACATGACATAAGATTGTTGATTTGTTTCCTTCTGAAATAATAAAACGCACATGGTGCAGTGGTTAGAGTATTGCACAAGGATCTGGATGATCCAGATTTGAATCCCCACTCCACCATGGAAGCTTGCTGGGTGACCTTGGACCAGTCACACACTCTAAGTCTAACCTACTTCACAGGGTAAGATGACGGAGGGAAGAACTGCATTGTAAGCTACTTTGGGTGCCTGTTGGGGAGAAGAGCAGAGTTGGAAGTAACAGATATAGGAGTGGGTTGGTTGGTTTGATTTTAATCAGGATAATAATCAGTTGTTATTCTGTTCCTTCATTCCACCATATCCTGAACATGAGAGAGCAGGAGAACATAGAACCTTATAAACAGAAACAATCTGCATGGAACCGAGACAAAGAGATGCTGCTGTACACACTAAACTGCTTGCTCTTTCCCCGGTATTGACTTTGGTGCTCACTCCTGTCTTTCTCGTTTTAGGATGGAAGCTAAGCCCTGTGGTTGGAGCAGTGTACGGCCCTGAATTATACGCAGGTAGAACTTAATGTGGATCGCTTCTGTTTCTGCCATTTAACTGCAGTGGTGTTTGTTTGTGTTCTCAATCTGCTGTTTCTTTATAACCTTTTTACATTTTTTATTCTTTTTAAAACTAAATTAGCATCCAGTTTTCAAGCAGATGTCTCGCTGGGCAATGACGCTGCAGTGCCCCTGTCAGGAAGGGGGGGTATTAACACTTACATTCCTTTAATCAGTAAGTAGCCCCTATTGGCCCCTGTATTGTTACTGTGCTTGAGTAAACAGTGATCTGTTAGCCCTCTTCTTTTCAGTCTGTATAATATGTACTTAAAAGGATGGGCCTTGGTAGAATGACACGGCCACTTCTCTGGGCTGTGGCCAAATAACCCCCTTTCCAATGCGAAGAGTATTTGCATGCTTGCTTATGGCTGGGGCTTGCCCAGCCGATAAGAATATAAATCCATAAGGGAGGATGCACATGGAAGGCCTTAGCTTCAGGACTAAGTAAATGAAACAGGCTGCACTCTGAAGTACATATTATTCAAGCTACTAAACCGAGAGTCCACTGCAGGCCCCCTTGTGGCATGCGCCTGGAAGCACCTTGGGTTGGAGGTTGAGCCTTGTGAATGACTGGCGCCTTCTGGGTTATCTGTTATTGCATTGTGTTGCCAGCTGCCTTCTGAGATTTGGACATTGTTTTGCCCTGAGCCAGTTTACTCCAGCATGAAGTGTAATAAAACAGGGCCCAATATACAGTGAAACCACTTAATGGTCACCGAATGCCAGAAGGTGGGCTCTTGGTAAACTGGCACTTTAGGATTAATTTTGGTTGCCTTTCTAGGGGGTTTCAAACCTTTTTCTGAGTTTAAATAAAAGATAGATGGGAAGGAGTAGGTGGTGAAAAGGGAGACAAAAAAGTCTTTACCTGTTGCCAGCTGACCAGTTTAAGGGGCTCGTGACAAAGCCCGTCCACACACACACACACACACACAAACACACCCCAATATGGAAGAGTCACCTGCCTTTATTTAGTAGCAACTCTCCGTGCTTCTCGGACTCTTTCTAACCAGACTGCATGGCATTATCAAACTGGGATGGAGGAAGAAGGGGGGGGGGGGAGACTGTTTGCAGTTTGTGATGAATGAGGCATGACTCAGCATTTAACCCCTTGCATGCCAGGCCTCTCTGCAACCCTACCTCCCCTCGGGGCCATGGTGTAGCAAGAGGTATGTGATGTCATCAAGGCTCTAAGCATGCTCCTTTGCAGGACTGATGCGGAACATCCCACAGCTCTGGAGTTGCATATCGTTCTAGATTACTTTTTGTGAACTGGGCAGTTGCAGCGATCCCTCTCATATTTTCCCTTGTCTGTCTGTCTTCACAGTTCCCGGCTTCCCTTACCCAACTGCAGCCACTACAGCCGCCGCTTTCAGGGGAGCTCATCTGAGGGGTCGAGGACGAACAGTGTATGGTGCAGTGCGGGCAGTACCTCCGACAGCCATCCCAGCTTACCCAGGGTAAGAGTCGAAAGCCCGAATGGCAGAGCTCTGCCCTGTCTGGCAGTTAGCTGATTGATATAAAGATAAAAGGTAGAGACGTGATGGATGGAGAGAGTCAGGATATGCCAACACCAGAACACTCTGCACCCAGTCGCATCTGAAAGAGCCAGTCGAAAAATCCGACATGTGACTTGAAAATGTTTTTCTCCCCCCGCCCCTCAAGGATTTGGGGGCACATCAGTAAAAAAGGCAGCTGTTTTAAATCTGTGTGCCCATTTTTCATAGCATATGGTAGCAGTTTTGCTGCACAGATATCATCTGGCTTTGGTACAGTAGCAAGTAATACCACTAAGAGAGCCACGGAAAGGGTGTAGAGTCTGTGGAGTGAGGCGGCTTCTGCTCTCTGAAGTCCAGGGTGATTCCCTAATGCAGAAGTGGCGAGTGTTGCTTGATGCACTGCCTTGGGAGTGGGACACAGGGGAGTCAGTTACCCACAATGGATTTGCTTTCTTGGTTGGAGATGTTTTGAAATGGGTTAAAACAAAGATTAACCAAATCTGGTTTGGAGGTAAAGATCAAAGAAGCAGCCTTTCTAGCGTGCTTTAATACACTCACAGAGAAAGTATATATTAATATTTCATCTTGCTTAGATTTTGATTATTTCCATGACACGGAAATTGGTTTGTAGCTATTTATTTGTTCAATTTATACCCTGCCCTCCCCGCCAAAGCAGGCTCAGGGCGGCTTTTTCTGTTTGTTTGTTTGTTTGTTTGTTTATTTATATTTCCAATTTCTATACCGCTCATGACCCCTACTGGGTCTCAGAGCGGTTTACAGTGAACTACTTTTATGTAGTTAATTACCTAGCTAGGGCCACAATTTTCCACGGGGAGGGGATTACCTAGCAGCACCCATGTGCGGCACGTATTCCTTCTCTCCGGCGGGCCTCTGACGATCTGGATGACTGGCGACCATCTCCAGGCAGGCTCTGATGACTTTCCTCTTCCGGCGCGCAGCTGCTTCGGGGCGCAGCTTCCGGCTATGCGTCCCCACGGGCTCCTGCCGTGCTGCGTGCCGTGCACATTTTTAACTTTGAAAGGGTACCAATAGCCGAGAAGTTTTTGTTCTTGCTTTGCATCCGAGGATACTACCTGACTTCATGTTTCTTCCCTAAATTCAAATCCTTGTCAGAGGAAACTTGAGCAAGAGCTCTTAATGGAGGGCAAACTGAATCCTGATTCTCATTTTCCCTTCTGACTAGGACCATATGCCATGTCGTTTGAAATTTCACAATGACATACTAGAATGTCCTGGGAGAGGATAGTTCAGTTTGGAACACCTGAATCAAGATGGGATTTCTGCACCCAGAGTTTAAAACAAGTATTAAACAAAACACTGTTCACTTACCTGCTTGGAATGTCCTCCTCGATCCACCCAGAACCCCCACATGGATGTAACAATCCACTGAAGTTTCTCATCTTTCCAAGGCATCCTTGTTCACTGATTCCTGTCTGAGTACCAATGCTTGGTAAAGATAAAAAGAAAGTTTAGGAACATTTTTGTTGTTATCCCTGATAGTAACGGCTGGAGTATTCCTAGAAAAAAGGGTGCCACTAATAGTGCACTGGAAAAACATATTTGTAAATTCCTTAAAATTACATTTTGACTACTAAAATCCAGCTCAGCTGTATAAAGGTAAAGCTGTCACATAGAAGTATCTCATAAGAAAATTTTATACTTTAAAGTTGCCCCATAGTGGAGAAAAGACAGCAGAAGATTATCTTCTCTGCCTTAGTTTAGTCAGAACTGTACAGATTAATTGTGTAAATTGTTGTATTGTTTTTTTACCTAGGGTCAAGGGACCCTGCACCACTCAATTTAGATGAAATTGGTTTCCTGGTGATTAAATAGATCAGAGTATTTATTGTGGTACAATGTGTATATAGCAAGAGGAAAAATCAGGTTTGCAGGTAAAACAAGTCTCACATTTTTGAAGGAATATAAACATTTGTCACTGGGAAGTGCATCATTTCTTCCCCTTAGACTTTTGGCATAAATATCACACAAATTGGATTATTTTATCAAATGGTAAATTGTTGAAAATGGTATATTCAAGCAGGCTTGAAACATGTCGGTGGGCACTTTATCAGAGTACCCTAGTCTGTGGAACTCATTGTTACAAGATGTCATTAACATAAAGGACCTCCGGAAGGTATTTTTTCAAGGCAAAATGAGTTTCCGCTGGTATGCTCTGAGAGAGAGGTGTAAGAGAGATTTAGTTAAGTTACAAGGTACTGCAGTTTAACCCTGTGCATATGAAGGCTTCTGACATTGTCAAACACGTACTGTGTTCATAGATTGGACCTAATAAATCCAAGCCAGCAATAAAAGATAAACCTCTGGGGTTTTTTTTAAATGACATATTTTAGTTAGCATATGACCTACCTCTTTGAAAGAAAGTGCTTTTGAACTGATTTATCCACATCAGCTGTACTCGTAAGTTGTTGAAAATGAGTGCAGCTCTGGATTGTGACCATTTGGAGCCTGATCACCATCTTAACACTTAAACTCTGTGCTAGTTTGCATCACTGTAGAACCTTGGTAATTGTAAGGCAGACTTATAGCCGAGATATCGTGGCCTTGTTGTTTGTAACTTCCTATAGGTGGGTGTGTTCTGATCAGAGTGGGAGAATCTTGGCATCATTTTGCTCTCCAGTTGGCATATGGAAAAAATTAGAAGTAATACTGCCTCCTTCCTCCTAGCCTGTGATAACGCTAACTGGTAAGCCAGATACCATGCATAGAAGGGTCTCAGATATGGGGAACTAATGCTTTTTAACATGAGTGATTTTAGCATATAGCTATAAAGGGAAATAAAGCCAGGGACAAAGCTGTGCAATGCTCAAGCATGTGTTTATAACCAGGGCTGTGGAAAACCCTCTCTTCCTTCCTTATTCTCCCCTGGACCTCTTCCAAAGCAAACTGCTTTACACTATGAAATGTTCTCATAAGTGCTGGATTTTCTGAATATTGGGGGGTTTTTTTGCTTCTGGAAGTGCTTGGAGATACTAATTGGCTGTTAGATTCAAAAGAGAACCCAAGCCCATCTAAACATTGCTGCTCTCTGCTGTGGAATGTGTCGTTACTATCAGGGATCTCTCCCCCCTCCCCCACCCCAACTTCACCTTTAAATACTTGGGATCTTGGATCAATCACCTAACTCTGTTTTTAGCTCATGATCTCTGCTTGTGAAAGCAATGCATTGTGGGTATTTCTTTTTTCATTACATTTCTCTGTGTTTATCAGAGTTGATTGTCTTGGGGTGTTTTTTCCTCCTGAGGTGTTGCATAAGATGACGAATAATAATACTTTGCATGCTTGTGTGATCAGCCAACTCTTATCGCATGTCTAATGTACAGGGTAAAAAAAAAAAAAGCAGGTGATGTATGGATATTAGAAACGATCGCACAAGGCTGCAAGATGCGTAATTATACACAACTCTTGGTATGTTTCTGACCTAGGTGGATTCCAGCCCTTGATGAACTCCTCCTAAAGAACTTGTTTTGTTCTCCTTGAAGCCCATTACACGAAGCCAGTTTGTCCATGTGTTTAGTGGGTTATAAGTAAATATTTTCCAGGTTAACAACTAGCATTGAGGTTTCTCAAGTCATGTTTCTCTTCTTCAGGGCACTGGGTCCTTTTATTATTTTGTTTTCCTCTACTGTATGATTATAAAGGTTGTTCTCTTCCCCAGCCTCCCCCCACCCCTTTGCATACTGTCTTCCCTTCTGCCCTGCCCGCCTGCATGCCATGGAAGATGACATGGAGCTGTTTTAGCGTGCGTGCGCACACACAATCTCTTGCTGATTTTTTGCTCCTGCCCGAAAGCCCAGGTTATGGATTCATACATCACCTGCCTGTGTAAAATGCATGTGCATGCTGCCGTCCTCAATAACCGGAATGTGTTTTCTGTTCTTTTTGTTTTGTTTTGTTGTTTTTTTTGTTTTTTGTGTGGATTTTCTGCAGTGTGGTTTACCAGGACGGATTTTACGGTGCTGACCTCTATGTAAGTACACACACCGGAGCCTTCTCATCCCCCAACCCCCAACAAGCCAGCCTTTTTTTTTTTAATTGATGTTTTTGATTTGGTTTTGGTTTGTAATTATAATTTACTTTTGATTTTTCTTCTTCCTTGTGGATATATACATTCATATATATTTAAGAATGCAAGCATGTTTCTCTGTCATTGCACTTGCCCCTGGGTGCAAGACTCCTGAGTTTCCTGACCATTGCCAGGGTCAGTTTACTAGGTGTTCTCTTTGTACATGCATAGTATACTACTAATCAACCTGAGAGACGATTAGCAAATTAAAATTTTTATCAGTGCTTCTCTCATTTGCGTAATTGGAGTCCAAAAAATAACAAGATTGGTTTCACCTCAAATCTTTTCTTTCCTTCACCCTTTCCCGCTCTCTGTCTTGGGATCCTTCGCAAACTCGAGTTTATGTAAGGAGATGTATGCTAGGAGAATTTAGGGTTCTCTAGAAGTGTGAATGCCAGTCATTTGCATTTGACTGCTAATAGTATTGGGGTAACTAGGCGCGCGTGTGTGTGTGTGTGTGTGTGTGTGTGTGTGAAGTGCCGTCAAGTGACAGCCAGTGTATGGCTACTTCAGCAGTGGGCTTTCAAGACAAGTGAGAAGCAGAGGTCGTTTACCATTGCCTTCCTCTGCAGAGTCTTCCTTGATTTCTCCCATCCAAGAAACAACCTTCCTTAGCTTCCAAGATCTGACGAGACCGGGCTATACCATGCCACCTTCCTTCAACTAGCCATAATAAGATCTTGCTATTTCATTCCCTTAAGTACAGCAGTACATTTCTTTGTCCCTTAGTTTGTTTTCCTCTAAGTAGAAGTATTGGATAAGCAGTCATCATCCCATTGTAAATTTTTCAACTTCTTGTTAACGGAATGGGATATTTCATTGTGGATTGTAGTGACTTTAGCAGCCAGCTGTGCACAGAATTTCTGAGACTTTGAGTCTGGTGCACACACATGTGCCTCAAAGACAAAAGTTCTAAGAGGGTGTAACTCACAAGACATAGCATATTCTTTCCATCTCTTTTTTAAATAAAGAGTTTAAAATGCTTCCCCATGTATCAGCTGGCAATATAAATTTTCAGCGGACTGACAGGACCGAGTGGGCTGTGTTGGTCCTCCTAGTGGCAGTGGGAGTGCAGCCGTGATGTGGCAGAGGCCAACTGACCCTATTATTAGTTAGGAAAGGCAAATTCAGCGCGTCCATCACTGCTCCACAAAATCTCTTCCCATTCATTTTTTTAAACAGCATGTGCTTTGTTGATATTCATCCCTCGATAACGGATGGGGCAGCCTTGGCTTGCCTCTGCTCTTTACAGATCAGTCCTCATGCTTCATAAAAGGCAATTTCAGGCTAGCTGCAGCTATTGGGAGGCATTCTGAAAATCCAGATGCCTGACTGTTAACCTCTTTAAGCTCCCTGCAATCATCGCTTATTTCTTGGTCTTTGTATACAACAGTTTTCTACCTTGGCCAGATTCTGTTAACGCAGTTTGTGTAAGAATGCAAAAGAATGATGCTAGGTGTTCCCCCAGCAGTCCTAAATTGCTGTCACATGCAGAGGAGGCAGCTGGGTACCAGTCATGCAGTGAGGAGACAAGAAAAGGGAGGACATCCTTTGCCGAGTATCATCCCCGGCACAGCCAGGGGCATGAATGACGAGGAGAGATGTCAGGTGAGGTAATATCCTCACTCTTGTTGAAAGGCTTCTCCGTATGTGTTTTCTGCCCGCGCTGAAGGGAGTCGCCTGTGACAGACAGCGATTTTAGTACTGTGTTAGACCCTTCACACCTCCTTAAGCCGCATAACACCTTTGGTGTTTTTAATGTATCTTAAGTCTGAAATGGCTGACATGACGCTGATTGGCTATTTGGCTGTAAACTATTTAGGTTGCCATCTTTAGGGCTTGTTGGGTGGTGAGGAGAACAGAACTGCAGTAAACGGAAGGCTCTCAAGGTAGATTAACCAAGCTTTTCCCATTCCTTTCCATTGCCAGAGTTCTCAGAGCTGAACTGAAGTGTGTGGCTACATCTCAGTCATGACTTCTAAACAACACCACTTTTTGCTGTCTTTAATTGGCATGAATAAAATAGGGTCTGTCTCCTTGTAAGAAATTACTGTGTGCATTTGTGAGATAATTTGCTTTCCTGAAGTGAATAGAAGGAGTGTCCGGCTGGTATAACTGTATGAGAAGGGTAATAGAGGAAACTTCCCTAGACTCTGGGGACAAGGAAGCCGTGTTCAGGGTGTCTTACATACTAGCAGGAATTAACTGGAGCGAGGAGGAGGGTAATCCGAGGGTAGGATAGGGCAAGTAGGGGAGATTGCAGCGGTTTCAAGCTTTATCTCACTGTGTGTTTTACTTTCCTCTTTCCTGTCTTCATCTCACCCCTACCCAGCTGCTTTATTTTCATAATAAAGGCAGTCCCAGCAAGATTTATTGCTGTCTGGCATTAAAAATTCAGGTAGTTAGCCCCAGGGTGCAGAAGGTATGGGAAGTAACAGCTTCTGTTAGTATGGATTTTACTTTGCCAAGAACAGCCATCTTAAAAGATCAAACTTAAAACTATGAAAAGCGTGCTTGCATCCTCTGGAAAGAAAAGGCTGGTATGCCCTTTGGTGGGCTCTTTGTGTGATTGTTTCCTTCCACAGCTGTGTTTTTGAACTGCTCTTCCTGTGTTCTGTTATAGAATAGTCTTACAGGAACCAATCATTAGCGCTAAAATACCTCAGGTAGGAGTGCCAGTGTGACCTGCCAACCAATCAGATTGTGGATTGCAGTGAAAAAAGAAACCCTTGAATTAATACTAACCATTCCAGCGCCAAATTAGAGATGGGAACAGAGTCTTTTTTTGTGGTTAAAAAAAAATATTAAAAGGACAGTGTATATTTGTGAGCATGTGATCAAAACTGTGTCTCTCAGTGTTGCACAAATCCCCCTTTCGTAACAGGTAGATGGCTTTCCTAAACCTAAATAGAAGGGCTAGCAGTCGGCCAAATGCCTTGCATTGCCACCTAACAGCAGCCAGAACAGCAGAAGCACTTGCCCTTTTCTCTTTTACCCATGGTTTATACAAGGCTCGCCTGCTGACCATCTTGCAAGGATGCTTGGGACTGATTACAGCCCAGTCTGCCTTCTTTCATCACCCGTTGTACAGATGTTTGAGAGCAGACACTTCCACTAAAAAAAAAATCACCACAAAAATCGACCCGACAGGTTTTCATTCAAGCTGTGTCCTGATTGTACCATAGAGGCAAGATGCAGAATTTCAGCAACATCTGTGCCTAAGTGCCTCTTGTGGTTGTCTTTGGCCACTTAGTTTTGCACATTTGGATTGTGTCACAGAGCACTATTGTCAGGTTATGGACATGATGGCTCTCTCTCTTTTTTTCAGATTCAAGTCCAGTAGCACTTTGAAGACCAACAAGATTTCCAGGGTAGAAGCTTTCAAGAATCAAAGCTCCCTTCATCAGATACAAGTAAGAATGGAGATCCCTCAGCCCTCATATAGCCCAGTCAGAAGGTTGGAAGAGTGTTGCGATGAAGGCACCCCTTCCACCTTCTGACTGGGATATCAGGGCTCAGGGATTTCTATTCCTACTCACATCTGACCGAGGGGAGCTCTGACTCTCAGAAGCTTATACCCTGGAAAAACCTGTTAGTCTTTAAGGTGCGACTGGACTCAAATCTGCCTGTTCTACTGCAAGCCAACATGGCTACCCCACCTGAAGCTTTGTTTCAGGAAGCTTCAAGACTGTAAATGCGTTTCCTGATGACTGTGAAACCTTGCAAACAAAGTGACTCCCAAGAGAGTTAAAGTGCGGCAGCCGTGCATTCTTTGGGTTGGTTCACAAGACATTTCTCTCCCTGTGAGCAGTTCTCACCTTTATGTGTTGCATACTGGCAGACCACAGATATGCTCAGCAGCCATTCCTGTGATTGCAGTGGCATTGTTCCCAGCTGCTAGGATCATAGGAATTGCTGCTGACAAAGACAAATATAGATGACCTTGAGTTTACGCTGTACATTTCTCCACTCAAGGAAATATTCAGGAACGGTCATGATTCCATGAACTAGGCCCCTGACATTGCAGTGAGCCTGTAGCCAATGCCAGGTAGCCAAGGGGAACCTTCCAGATGATGGTGCTCTGTTATTTCAGATCCTTGGAACAACTGTTTAAGAGAGACAGGAATGAGGGTGGCAGGTGTTGAAACCCTATTGTTCCCTCAGTGGATTGGGTGGAAAGGTGTGCTGTGAACACTGAAGACTGATACTGGACTGGTGGTGGGTGGGCTACAGTATCAGGCAGATGGGGGTATAAACATCTCTGGAGCTCTGCAGCTGTAATAGTTATGAGGGTGGAAGCTGCAAGAATGGTCATAGGTTTGTTATAACGTTTTTAAAAATAATTAAAACCAGTTTGGTGTAGTGGTTAAGTGCGCAGACTCTAATCTGGGAGAACCGGGTTTGATTCCCCACTCTCCACTTGCACCTGCTGGATGGCCTTGGGCAAGCCATAGTTCTGGCACAGCTGTTCTTGAAAAAGAGCAGTTTCTGTCAGAGCTCTCTCAGCCCCACCTACCTCACAGGGTGTCTGTTGTGGGGAGGGGAAGGGAAAGGAGTTTGTAAGCCGCTCTGAGACTCCTTTGGTAGTGAAGGGCGGGATATAAATCCAATCTCTTCCTCTTCTTCTTCTTATTTGAATCATATATGTGATTTAGCCCTGATTCTCATGTCAACAAGAGATGGTTTTGCAGTTTAAAAATCTTCCACAGAATACAGTAAAAGCTGCATTTGCTAGTCTTGCCATGACTTTAGAAATGCAGGTAACACAGAGGGCTAAAAAATAAATAAAAATAAAGCACAACTGAATTCAAAAGCCTCCTTTTAATGGCTTCTGTCTGTGTTGAAAACCTGCAAGCAAGTGTGATAGTTTTGTTAGGTCTACATGTTATTGAAAGAAATTCTGAAGGCCCAGCCTGTTTGTTAAGGATACCTTAAAAAGCTTCCAGAGGATATGATGCCATGCATACCCTTAGTTGCGGAGCTCATAGCTTATGTCAACTCCTGTCTTCTGTGGCCTTATGTAAAGCAGTAGGGCTGAGTTGAGCGTGTGTCTGCCATATTGCTCTGGCTAGTTAATATGACTGACAAAGTATAACCTGGCGGCGAGTCTAAAAGGGCTTTCCGTGGATACATGTGATGGGAAAGGGTAATTAAAGACAGCTCCTAGCAGTGCTTGAGACATACCAGGTCTCAACTCCAGACTAAATGAAACCAGTCTCTACCTTCCGCCCCCCCCCCCCTTGCTAAAGCAGCACTTAGGGGTGTAGGGATGTGAAAATTTTCAAAGACAGCCCCAAAGTGGGCAGGCATGCAGGGAACAGCACTTCCTGTGCTATGTAATCCCCATTAAGTACTCTTCCCCTCTCTCACACACATACATACTGCTGCTCAGCTGCTATTTGTGGCTGTCTTGCTTGCAGGGAGAGTCATCACATGCTCACAGTTTCCCAATTGGTTTTCAAGAGGAAAATAAAAATTGGCAATGCCTTTAACTTGAAATTTGGAGGATTTGGCACACATCTTCTAGGAATTAAATCATTTTAAATGCATGCCCATTTACCATCCAGCTGCAGAGAACTATGGAACAAGCTGGGCATGGTCTCTCCTTTGCACTGGTTGACAGGAAGACTCTTAAATTCTTCTAAAATGCCTTGCAGTAGTTACAATCAAATTTTCTAAAGGACAATCTGAGTGACTGCCAAAAAGTCCAAGTATATTACCGGGGCGGTGGGGTGGAATATAAAGTGAACTAAAGGACATCCCTTTTCTAGCAAAGCTTAGGCCAACAAGCAAGGTTAAGTATTAAAAGTGCCATGAATGGCTCTATGAAAATTTGGATAACTTGGTAGAGAGCTGTGTGAGGATCCCGAGACTTAAAATATCAGAAATTAAATGAAGGATCTTGCACCAGTGTTTGTGTGTCCACCTGTAAAAATCGTCTAGATTTTGAAAGAAATAAGAAATGTAATACAACTTTTCTTATTTGTGTTGCATTATGCCCTGCTACATTTCAAGCAAGCATCGTCCGACCAACTGATTACCTGTTCATGCTCTTTGCTCTTCAATATGGAGCATGTCAGAGATGTGTTGAATGATTGGCTTGTAGTTTTATTTAATGTATACATAATAAGAATGTGCAGGCTTTTCACATCACGTGGATGTGATCATGCAGACATACGCATTCTTTATTTTCTATTAACAGTTTCACATCTGCATCAGTGCATGCTTACCAGAAAATACACATCAGCTATTTTTAACTTCGTTTTTCCAATGAATTATTTTTTCCTTTTTTTTCCGTTTTGTTGTGCAGTCAGCTGAAGAAATGTTAACATCTCGCTCTAAATCTCTCAGTGGAGTCTCTGTTCCCTTCTCTGATATAACAGATGGGTCATTGCTTGTTATAATTATTAACATTTTGTGGTGTGGGACAGGGTTAGGGTGGGAGCCTTTTTCCCCCCCTTCCTTTCTTTAATTTGGGTTTATATGGGACTTGTTTAAGATTTGGAATGTTAACTCCAGTGGTGACTGACTGTTTCCGTAATAGCAGGTCGTTGTGGCTGCACGCTCTAGTAATTGAGGCTGTGTACTTCACCGAGCTTGTGGTAGAGCCTAGGGCAAAACTGCTGTCCCAAGAGAATGCTGGGATAGATAGAACTAGCCAATATGAGTCTGAACGTGGTGATCTTGCTGGTTGTTTTTTTTTTTTTAAGTTCCAAATGTCAGCATGCTTAGTTTTTAATTTGATTAATAAATGTTACACCATTCCCCCTTCTCCCAACCTGATTCCAGTCCCCTCTTTCCTTTACAAGAACTGCAAGTTAAAGAGATTAAATGGGGGGGCGGGGGGCGGCCTTTTCCTAAAGTTTCAAACTGCATCTTGTCTTCATGTTCGCAATCATACTGAAAATTGATTTGTCTCAAATATCAGTAGAAAATATCTTGGGGAAGGGGATGCACTGAACAGGCGGCAAGCAGCTTGGCAGCCAGTGTTGCCAAGGACAGAAGATGCGCAGTACATTTGCTCATGCTTGAGTATCACATTTATCTGTAGTTCTGTAGCCTGTTTTTTAAAAAAAAATATTGATGATTACAGCATATATATAAAGTTGTGATAGAATTTCATTTCTTTTTCGCTGTAAAATTCTCTCTGTAGCTTCCTGACAGTCAGTGCTATGGAACTAATTCAGAATTAAATCACAAGTCTGAAAATGGGAAGGTCAGAATGGTGTGCTTCTGTCACTGTTTGGTGGTAAAAGCAATGGGGCAGTTCAACATTCCCCTGTAGTAAGAGGCATGAAATGATGCCTGTTTGGAATCATGTTTACACACCACTGAATCATTGCACATGTAAAATAGGGGGAACACCCCTTCCCAAGCGCCAATTATTTTGAAAACTCTTTCCTATGGACTTGTTTTACTATTTAATCAGGTAAACGCAGAGTTCTGCAATACTTATGGCAGACGTCTCCATCATATAGCAGACCCTAACTGTTCCCTGGACGGCCAGATACTCAAATACTTTGGCCACCAAATGAGAAGGGAGCACTCACTGGAGAAGACACTGATGCTGGGAAAGATTGAAGGTCAAAGAAGAAGAAAGGGATGGCAAAGGATGAGCTGGTTAGACAGTGTTATCAATACAACGAACATGAAATTAAGCAAACTCCGGAGCACGACGGAAGACAGGTCAATGGCGTCATGAAGAGTCGGACTCAACTGTGCGACTGAACAACAACAACAAAAACTCAAAGTTCTGCAGTACTTATGGCAGGCTTCTCCATCATATAGCAGAGATATGGAAAGAAGATTTTATTTCCATACTGATCTTGGATTGCTCCATGTGCAGGGTTCTTCAAAAATGTTGCTGAGAATTTTTGGATAATTCCAAATCACTGGATGTCTGCCTTTAAGCTGCCAATGGATTGAATGAGTTTATGCACCATAAACAAAATGTTTTTATCCATGATAAAGTTGTTTTTTAGACCTTGAACACTTCTGCACTCTTTTGTCTGGAGCTGTCCCTATCCAAAGTACACTAGCTTAGTATTGGCACTAAATAGTGGAGGAGCCAAGACGTTTTCACTGCCTTGTGGCTCAGTTCAGTAAATAGGAATTGCCATTTTGGTCCCAGAGATGCAGATAAGATAAATAGGCTGTTGGCAAGTGGATTTAAGCTTTTGAGTTCATAGATATCTTCATCAAGCATCACTCCCATGTCATTTTACCTATTTTAGTCTTGCTCTTGCTTGGTGGCATAGTGCAGATCTGAGAAACTGCACCTGTTGTTATCTTCCCATTTAGCACAGCGAGTTATTTTTACTTGGTGTTAACTTGGTTTCAAAATTCTTAGCATTTACTATCATGGCTTATCTGTATAAACTGTCTGAATGAGCTTTAGAGTATTACTCTCTCTCAGAAGAGAAAGGTTTCCCCATACCATTTTAACACATTATTTAAAAGCTGTACTGTTTTAAAATTATGTGTCTTATGTCATCCGAGGTACATGGAAATTAGAGTAGGGTGATACTGCCAGCCCTCATCCTGTTTGCAATGATTACACTCTCAGCCTATGACATTTTAGTGCCTTTAAAAAGTGTATTTTTTATTCCCAGGAGAATATTGCCATGGGTCCATCAAGAAATAAATATTGTATAAAATCCATTCCCCCTCCCCAGCATCCAGCTGGGGAACAGAACTGTGTCTTTTCATATTTAATAATTTGATCTTTAAGCAAGACTTGCCGATATTCAGTGTTGGTAACAGTGCCAGTAGAACTGGGGCATGCTGCATGGCATGAAGGTTTGACCCAGTCTTTGTTGACAGGCCTTCAGTCTCAGAAGAAAGACAGACAGGATGATGGTAGTTGAGACTGATAAAGAAATAATGGGAGTTAACAGCCAATGTAGGGAAAAAAGCTGAAGTGCCTGCCCTCCAGAAACGTTTTTGTGGAAGATACAGATGATGTGGCTGTGACTAAGTGGTAAACCATCTCCTTTGCATGCAGAAAGCCCCAGGTTCAGTCTCTGAAATCTCCAGTTAAAACACTCAGGTAGTAGGTAGTATGTGAAAGACCCCTTCTTGAGACCTTGGAGAGCCTCTGCCAGTCAGAGTAGACCTTGAAAGACCAATAGTCTGACTTTGTAGAAGACAGTTTCACGTGTTCACACGTTTTGGGGGTCACTTAAATCAGAGGAGAGGCCTGACGTTCACTGGAAAGGGATGCAGATGTTCAGGCATAGAAGTCAAGGAAGGAAGCAAAGGAGGACAGCTGACCCGAGGCATAAGGCTGTGGCTCAGAACCGGAAGTTGCCCAAAATAGGATTGTCGAGTTGTTGGGAATTGTAATATTAATAATTTATCAGGAGCACTGTTAAGTTCCGGAAAGTCATTCTGGAAATATTGGAACAACACTCCTGACTTTCCCATACAAAATTATAAATTTGCAAGTGCCTCCCCCCCACCAGAGACGGCAAGACTGGGGAGGGAGGAAGAGAGGAAGGGCCCCGACTCCCAGATGCTCCACAGTGCACCAGCCCTTTAATCTTAAAGGGGCACGATTTTCAATGGCTGGGGTCTGGCTGCAGGCTTCCTGCTCCCTTACAGGTAGCAGAGTCTGTCTGTCTGTGTTTCTCTCCCCACCCGTCCCTTCAGCTGGCTGGAAGAGAGGGGGGAGCCTGCAGTGGTCCAGTTGCCACCCTGGATATTGAAAAGAATGCGAGATAGATGGGCAGGTCTTCCCATCTACAATAATGGCCCCTTAGAGCCAGTGTGCTCTGGACCAGCTGTGAACAATAAAAGGCTTCCCAACCTGATTCCAGATATGTCTGGTTATTTATTGGGAGAGAAAAAAATAACAGAATCAGGAAAGCCTTGCACAGTATCAGATATTGCCAATCCAATCCAATGCAGGAAATTTTGGACACTGTATCAGGTCAACGATATCCCATTGCATACCCCCCAGCCAAATGCTACCAGTATAAACATTTATGGAAAGGGGGATATAGCCAAGAGGCCAAAAGATATTCTGAATGGATTAAAGGGGTGGGGGAAGAAGAGAGAGCAGCCGTTGGGAGTCCGTGAGAAAGAATGGCATTTTCATATTGAGAGCACCCTAGGGCTGGCCCTTGACAACTGCATTTGAACAGCCCCTTCCACTTTAAGAATTCTTCCCTTCAGGACTGCCTTTAGCCTGCACAGTTCTCTGTAACTAAATGTTGGGGCTCAGACGCCTTAGAATAACTTACTGGGGGATTGCTCCTCTCGTCACTGCAAATGTGACCGATAACAGCTCGTGTTCTACATTAGGCATAATGTCATTGGTTGCTTTTTCCATTGAATTTTCTGGCTAATTCAAAAGATTGGGGGTTAACAAGCCAACAAGCTCAAGCTCAGGTCAGCAGTCGTGCCTGTGTCTCTTTTGAGGATCCGGATTTCAACATTTGAATTTTCCTTCCCTCAAAAACAGCAGTACAGCAAAAAATCTCTGGGGTAGTTCTTGGGTCAACTGGATTCCTTTATCTTTAAAATGTATACATACTGGATAACACTTGCTCCCTGTTTTTTTTTTCTTCTTCTTTCTTTTTTTCTTTTGCTGATTTAATCTCCTTCATAGAGGACCCACAGCCATCTCTCTCCCCCCCCCAATTGAACTGTCTACCAGATATATTGTGTCATGCAGAAGCCATTTGGATGGGGAATGGCAAAATATAGATGGGTTTGGGGAGGCTTTTCCTGATCGTTACAACATGGGAATCGATGCAGTTTGAAACATCTCTTCTCTGTATTTGTGTGTGTGACTCCACTTCGGGTGAGGGGACGGGTATCTATAAAGTCAGTTCTCTTCTTTCCCGCAGGGTGGATATGCAGCCTACAGATATGCACAGCCTGCTACCGCAACAGCAGCCACTGCCGCTGCAGCCGCTGCAGCCGCTTACAGCGATGGGTATGTAAGCAGTGGTCGTTCCAGAGAACCTGGGGGCCAAGAGCGTGCTATTCCATTTAGTGCTTCCATCAGCCTGTTTCTTCCTAGCACACTCCAGATACAAATCTTCAAAGCTTTGCATCCAGTCATAGCAACCAGATGTGTATAACAGGAGACCAGAAGTGCATGGTTCTCTGTTGTCACTTCTGCTGTCTGTCTGTTGGGGCAGTTGCCGATTTGCCAAGAGGGTACAGGCAACTCCACCCTTTGACCCTGGGTAAGGTTCTGCCCTTCGTGGTTGTCACATCTTGAAGGTAGGAAAGGGCATTGTAAATTTCGGTGTGTTTTAGTTTATCTGCACTGGAATTGCCACCTGTGCGCAAGGAATGGTGGATTTTCTTTACTTAGAGCAAAGTAGTGTCACAGTTGCATGGAAGCACTGTTTGTGTCTCTTACTCCTCATGTGTGCATCTTTTAGCTGGAGCACAACTCACACTGCTTCCTTTTGGCAGGCTGGCGATGCTTGTCAGCAGGTTCTTCTTCCTTTGCTAAGGGCTGCAGACGTTGGTAGTCCACTCTACCAAAATGGTCATGACTGTAGTGGAAGTCTTGTGATTTTAGGGCCTTCTTAAAGTCCATAACCGTTTCATGACCAATCTTTTATAAAAACCAAAAGGCAGGGTTTTTTGCAACAAAAGTTGTGTCATGCTTACAGCAGGCTAAGAAAAAGGTGCTGTTTTTTAAAACCTAGGTTTTCATTTACTTTTGTCATGGGGGGAACACTTGTGATTTCTGAGTATTTGAGGTTGTCACCTCTCCATTTTGAATACCCAGGGATTTCCTTTTGAAACGGACAGCCTTTTTGGGTGTGGAGGAGAAGTGGAAGGCCCCATTTTCTTTTGGTGACTCCGCTCTCTTCCTGTGACATGACTTGTCTTTTTCTTTTCCCCTTCCTTTCCTCAGCTATGGCAGGGTGTACACAGCAGACCCTTACCACGCCCTTGCCCCTGCCGCTAGCTATGGAGTTGGTGCTGTGGTAAGTATGACCCTCTGTCTTTCCTCTGTAACCTTTTGGTTTTACCCAGAGGTCTTTGCCTGTGGTATTTTGTGTGGATAACTCCATGTGTTGTAAAGCAGATGAAGCGTCAGGCATATCCGTTACTGTTATGGAAGGAGAAAAATAAGGCGGTGTTCAATCTTACCCTCTGTGCCACCTGAGAGTGGTAAAATGTGAGGATAATTTTTAGAAATGAGGAACATAATATTGCTCCCCAATGGATGCTTGGAGTGTGTGTGCATGAATATAATACAGTCCCGCCACGTTTAACAAACATGCTAAATCAGTTTCTAGAGGGAAGAGAATGGAAATGAAAAAATAAACACTGAGCAGAACCAGAAGTGGATCCTGTGAAAGTGTAATAGATAATTAAGCTGTTCTGGGCTATCATTTATTTACTGTGTTTGTATATTGCCTTTCAACAACTGTTTGCACAGCAGTTTGCAACATAAGAAATCAATTAATACCTGCAAAGAGTAGTCAAAATTGAAAATAAAAAGCAGCAGCAAATCAAACAGTATCCAGGAACAGACGCTCCAATCCTGGGCAAGAGATATTCTCAAAAGCCTGGCAGATCAAGAACATTTTCTCCTGCCTCTAGACACAGGCAAGTGACACAAGCTTCAGGGGGAGAGGGCATTCTGTTACACTGGAAAGGCTTCTTTCAAAAATGACTGTGCTCCTGCTGGCTGCTGCTTTTGCATTCACACAATATGGGGCCACTGAGCAGGTCAGTTCTTAAAACATGACATAGGTTTAAAGGGCAACAACCAGAAAGAGATCCAGGATGTGCAAGGAGCACACTTTAGCACCCAGCCACAGCAAAGACACAAATGTCTACCAAATCAGAACGTAGCCGTTTAATCCCCAACTGTAAGGCACCATCTGAACATAGGTAGTCAGTCCACCGGCTCCTTTTGCCTTGCACAAAGTTGAGCCTTAAATGCAACATATCTGTATCTGCGTGGCACGTGTGTTGGCATGCCTAAATCAAGGCATGACCAGTTTAATCTCTGCCAGTATCACTTCATTTATTATGAACAGTGACATATTGAGCAAGTGAAGCTAAATGTTTACTTAAAGTACATTGAGGTCCTATCCAGGCTTTGTATTTAGCCCAGGCTTGCCATGATTCACGTACACATTTTTAATGGAGAACATCAGATGGTGCCCTTGGTACCCTGTTTCAGAACAAGGTTGTTGTTCTTTTCTTTTCTTCTTATCAGGCTTCTTTTGTGCAGAATTTTTTAACATGTTGAACAGAATTGGCAGTGCTAGCCACCTAATGTGCAATAGTAAAGTTCTGTTTGTGCACCTGACACGAGGAATAGGTGGGCAGGTTTATTTACTGCCATTTTTAAATGTTCTTTAAAATAAAAAGAAACGCCGTCCATGTCACTATAACACAGTTGCATACCCGTGGAACTGAAAACCACAAATTGACAGGCTGGAAAAACCTTGGGATAATGGAGCATTAAAGTGGAGGGGAGATGGGGAAAAAACCATCCTCTAGAATCTGCTGAATCCAAAGCAGAGCAATACATTATTTGGAGTTCCTTCTCTGGGCTGGAAAGAAGGGGAAGAGGGAGGGAGTTTTCAAACTGGTCGGTGTGGTCAGCTCTCTTTTCTCTTTAATTTCATTCAGGTGAGGGAGTAGATGGGGAATTAGGCAGTTGGAGCCATGCCACAAGGGAAGAAAGTTTAGATTTCTCTCACCCAATGCCATGAATTGTACATCCTAGAGTGGCTGCCTTTTTATGTTGACCTGACTGGAGCATTCCTTCTCTGTATCAGAAGGATGGGGGATTTGAAGAATTTATTTCAGTGCTTTTGAATTCCCAGATTCTGTAGGGGTTGTTTCTGGTCCCGTCTCCCCCAAATGCTTTTAATGCTTCAGACAAAACCATGAAATTGCAAGGTCAGGAAGTTAGTAATTAAGAGAGCTGTTATAATATTGTCACAGTGGCCAGAAGGAACCAGGTCACTCTCTTTACAGTGAATGGTGCTTCCTCCTGAGCTTGAGGGTGTGGGTGGAACCTTGTTAGATTTTAGTGGGGATACAGCACGGCTAGGTGCCATGGGGGACGCCAGTTCCATTACCAGCGGACTGCAAAAGAGTAATCATTTCAGCAGCACAAAACAGTCCTGGTGTGGAAAGTCACAGAGTGCCCCTGAACTTGGATGTCTGCCTCAGCACACTATTCTCAGCAGGGCTTTTTTTGTAGAAAAAGCACAGCAGGAACGCATTAGCATAATAGGCCACACCCAACAGCAGAAACACATTAGCATATTAGGCCACACACCCCATGCCTTCCCTTGGCTTGTCTGGGCCCCCCGCGGCTGCGGGGAGCCCAGGCAAGCCAATCCTTGGACAGGCCAGGGAAGGCACGGGGAGGCATTTAATCCTTCCAGGGACCCCCTGGCCTGCTGGCCTCGGAGTCGCCAGGGGGGTGTCACTCTCCAGGCCTTCCCTCTGTAGCCTCCCACACAGAGGTTTTGGCTGTAGTGGGTGTGGCCAACTCTGAAGCCAGCCGGAACTCCGTTCCTGTGCGTTCCTGCCCAAAAATAGCCCTGATTCTCAGGAGGTTTATTTGGGAAGTGAGCCATGGCACCCAGCTACCTTCCCTTCTGCTCTCAAGTATTCCTAATCCCCCCCACCCCTGAAATGGAATGTGTGCCTGCAGATGCTTCTCATGCCTTAAGGGCAATTTCCGGTTTGGCTTTAACTCAAAGGCAGACCGACAGAAACCAGTCTTGAGGCTGGCGCTGGGAGGTCCATACTGCCTAAATCTAGCAAATGGAGCAGCTGGCAGGACACAAGACAAATTGTAATCCTAGTCCTATTGCATTGTTCACTGAATGTCTCGTGCTGTTTCGCTGCATAGTTTTGCACTGTGTAACCCGCCTTGAGTTGCAGTGAGAAAGACAGGCTATAAAGTAAGAAAAATAAATAATACAAATAAATAAAATAAATATCAACTTTTGGTAAGAGTAACAAGAGTAGGTGTATTAGGTTAGGGGCAACGTGTATCATATGTTGGGTTGGATCAAGCCATCTTTTCTGCCGGTGAAAAGGGGGGGGGGGATCCCCTTTGACTACCAGAACAGACTTTGCCAGGAGTTCACAGGAATGCACGAGTGAAAGTCATGTGAGACAGCGGCTGTAGAAGGAAGAGGAACTGGATGCAATGCGGTGGGGAAAAAATGGCTGGATTCGACCCATTGCCCACAGGATCTGAGGGACTTCTTACTGTAGAAAATATATATGGATCTGGTCGGTGTTTGAGAAAATGCTGGCTTGGGAGGCAGAAGGTTTTAGGGCTTCTTTTATCCTTGGATTGTTCTGGAGGTGAAGTCTTCCTTGCAAGTGCCAGATCTGGCACACATTTCCAGAGTCTTCTAACCTCTCCTTTCTTCTCTCCATTAACTTCTGCAGGCAAGTTTATATCGAGGCGGCTACAGCCGGTTCGCCCCCTACTGAAGTGACGTGACCCCCCCTGCAAGTGGGACAGCCCCCCAGTTCATGAGGCCTGGCTATTGCAATATTTACTAGTAGAGGAACTCTATAGCAAGAAGAGGAGGAAAAACAAAAGAAAAAAGAGAAAAACAAGAGAAATACTTTTTTATACCTCACTATGTTCTTTGAATATGTATTTTTTTTCCTTTAAATTTCTGCCTTTAATTCTTTTGTTCCAAAGATTGTGCATTTTTGGGTTTTTTTGGTTGTTTTTTTAACTGTGGTAAACATAATGCATTTCCATGTCTGTATATGCGTAGCTTATCCTACCAATCACAAGAGAGACAAATAGTGCTAAGGAGCACCATTAGGAACCAATATCATGGAACTCAAATCAGGAACATGCAGACATTTGTGTTACCTGGGTCTGGTGCCTGAGGCCTGTGATGGATGAGGAAGACTCTCTCTACCTGCGGACAGCAGTGCTGATTGGCTGCAGCTGGAACCTGCACGCTGGTTGGAAATGCAAACATCCTCCTCCCCGCCCCCTTTTATTACCATCTGTCATACGCGGGCTTGGAGCAGTTCCAGAAGATTTTACGGATTCTGTGACAAGACTCCCCAGAGCTGCCCAAAGACTGTCTGTTAACGGTTTTAGGAGACAAGACTTGAAATAAATTTGCGATCCTGTTGCTTCTATACACGCACCTAAATTTAGTGATTGATGTCCACTACCGAGGCTCTAGCTCTTAGTTTCTTTCACTTGCTATGGTCTTCCTCTCTTCCCATGTTCCTCCCTCTTTTTCTTTTCCTGGAGGAGCAGCAGATGTGGGACAGGGACTGCAGAAGTTAGAGCTATGGTCTGCCTTCGGTTAACAAGGAGCGTGATGGCAAAGTGCACACAGCCTACAGGTTAGAGGAACGGTGGCCAAAAAAAGCTTACACCGGTACCACTCTGAGCTACCTAGTGTCCATTCTTCCCCCCCCCCTCCCCCACAAGATACTTATCTTTGCTGCAAGTATGCCATCCAAAAATTGCATGGAGAGAGAGAATGGATTGTGGCCCCAGGAACAGGTCGTGGGAGGATTTTTTTCTGTCATAACACTATTCTGGAAGTAGTCATTGTGTAGTTTCATCATCGGGGGCAGGCAGAAACAGATTTCAAATGGTGTGTGAAAACACAAGAGAATCCTGCCTGGCATTTGCGCAGTCACTTTTTGAGTTCCAATGGGTCGTTGTGCCCATTCCAGTGAGAAATCTGCATCCAGGCTTGGTTTGGGTACATATTGCAGAATGCAAATGGAGAGACTCGTCAGGAAGACCCTTTCCATTTCCTTATGAAAGAACAGCCTTTATTTTTGCCCGGGAGACATTTTTTAAAGTTGCTCTGGAAGCATGAGGACAAGCCAAGCCACTGCTCTCAAATGTCTGACGTGAATTCTGGAAATCTGAGGGGAAGAGGATCCCGCTTTGCCCTCTTGGCCATCATAATTTTCTTGGCGCCAGTTGCAGGTTCTCTGCAGCTCTATCTTAAAATCCCTGAATATTAGAGAAGCACAATTCCCTTTGACTCCCTGGCCTGCCTGAATTGGTACTGGGTGACCTCTCACCCTTGGAAGGGCAGGTAGGGGGTGGACTTGTAGCTGAAGCCTTTTCATCTCCTGTCGCCATACACACCGGCCGGTGATGTCAGCATAGGAACAGAGATGTCCTGAAATCCTTCAACGAGCAGGGCTGATCGAGGAGTTGCTCTCCACTGGCCCCCTTTGCTCCCATTCGCATGCGTGTGCCCTCCTAGCGCTTGCCAGAGAAGGGGATGCCTGAAGCAAGAAGGGCTGGGGGCGGGGTGGGGGTGGGGATTCTTAATGAAGCTAGAAACTCTAATGATGTGGATTCTCTGGAATGAGGTGACACCAAACTGCCAGCCTGTTGGCCACTTTTTGTTTTGTTTTTTTTTAGGTTTTTATTGTCTTGTGTTTTTTTCCCCCAAGCCAAAGTTTGGTTTGTTGCTGATATGACAATTTCTGTTTTTGTATATAAATATTTTAGTTAGGTTAAAAATGGAATGGGGAGAGGGAAGCGGGGCACCGGTTTTTTGCAGAATTGAGGAAATGGGGAAGAAGGTGGGAATTTTTTTTGTTTGTTCTAGAAATTGCTTAGTGTCATGTTCGCTGATAAGCCTGTTTCCATCACAAGGCGGGTGAGGTTGGGAAAGGACTCCTGCCCTGGGGAGTGAGACACAGCAGAAACCTGTGGGCTGAATAATCAGTTGCACACAAGCTGAGGAGCGTTCTCCTGGCACAACTGAGCGAGACTGACTCTTCCTTGCAGAGCTCCGCTACAATCCTCGTGTTGACGGACTCTGTTACATTTGAAAATCTGAGTACTCCTGATTTGGATTCCGTTTGGATTGTCTGTGTTCTGTAATTCCTGTAGCAAGGAAGAGAAGTGTCCCTCAGAACTGGCTATAAAAGACCAAGCGGAGTCTGTAATGCGTCCTATTACAAGCAGCTTAGGAACCACCCAGCTTGGGTGGTCTAAGGTGCATCGCCATAGTACTTGTTGACTGTGGCCAAGATTGTCCTGTTAATGTCTGCTTCCCCATCTGTAAAATGGAAGAACAGTCTTTCTTTTGTGAAACACAGATTCCTGGCGGAAGGAAGAACACTATTACTAATGAGACATGCTTGTATCTCAGCATCTCTAAAAGCCTACAAAAACCGGTGCACCAGTTTCGTTGCACACGTTTCTCGTAAGATACTACACCGTTTACTGTTTGATTTCTCGAACAACCCCAACATCTTAATAGGTGGATGCAATTGGGGCTTTCCACGTCCTCCTACATCTCCTCTTTATAGATGCCTAGTAAATTGGGGGGGGGGAGGGGGTTGCAACTCAGAACTCGACTATGGAAACCAAATTTGGCAAACGTTATCTTTTGCTGTGTCCCCCTCCTGAAGGGAAACTTGCAGGCATCCTGGGAAACAACACATCTCCAGCATGCCAGCATTTGAGGGGATATTTAAAGAGTGTGTTTGCCTGTTTGCACTGGTTTTTAAATAGGAAAATGAAATCCTAGTGAACAAAGCAAAGAGCCAGTGTGAAGTTCTGTGTGTGTGGAATTTTTTAATTTTTTCATGGTCTTGAAAATGTCAAACGTTGTAGTATGCACCAGCGTGACTTGATTCTTTGTTGCATAAAACACTATTTTGGTGATGTTACTGTCTGAACAACCCATCCCTTCTTTCCCCTATCCTCCCTCTCTCCTCTTTTGAAGTTGCTTTTATTCTGTAATGAAACCTTCCCTCAGAGAGGCAAGCTGCCTTCTGGTAGTGCAAGTGAAAGTGGTTTTTTCCCAAGTACTTTCCCGGTGTTCTTCCCCTTAGTCTGGCTAATCTCAAGATATGGTGTGGTATTGCTTCTGTTCCTATCCTGTCAAGTGAAATACAGGAAGATGTCCATTTTTAGAGTGGGCTGCCATAACTAACAGTGGGGATCAGGACACACCAGGAAATATTGTCTGGTTGATGTCTCTAAATTGCCACCAAGTAGGGATTACTTGGGATGACTTATAGATAAATTAAACCCAAGGACTTCCAGATGTCGAGGTTAAAAATGTCCTCATTAGTAGAGAAAATCTGTCCTGCCAACTCCCACCCCCCCCTTCAAGCCGTCCACTGGAGTGTTCATTTGGCTAGCAGTCTTGCATCATGAGACCACTTATTTAACGGTTGACTTAAAAGGCAAATTGGAAACCTCTTGTTGAGCTTTCTCTCTCTTAGGGGTGAAACATTGAAGTGCGTTTGTTGCTGCTTTGAGAAATAACTGTCAAGGAACCTAGCTTATATATATATATATCTGTGTATATTCCCCAGTGTAAGTCATTTAGGAATTCTCTTCCCAGTATTAAGTATGCATTGCAGTTCTGGCAATTTGTTTATAGTAAGTGAAAAAGTAATCATCCAGGAACTTTGATTTGGATTTTTTTTTAATTATTATTAAATCCTTATTTTTTTTGTAAATAACTGGGGCAAAACGCTGGTCCAATGGCAGATGCCAGCCCAGGACTGTAGGGCAACATCAAGATGATGCTTTACTGACCTTGAAGGCTTAGCTAACCCTTGGAGTTCTTCAATTCAAGGCCTAGAATGCCCCAAACTCTGATGGTAATGACTGACATGCCTCTTCCTGCAGTGTCTCCTGCACCTTTCCCTTGCCAGGTACCCTTGGGGCCATAGGACGCATTGTAGTTAGATGCTCTCCCCTCCTCTGGATCATTTCCCAGGATGCCCAGGCTACTTGCCCAGAACCCCAGATCCCTCCTGACTCTGGAGAAGCAGCACCTGCATCCCGGGACTTTGTGGCCGCCTCTTAACATCCTCCTCCCTCCCCACTCTCCCTGGTTAAGTATCATATTGTACAGTAGCTTTCAAACCATACAGTATTCATTGGGTTACTCTTATTATTATCAAGTAGCTGGAATTGTGAAGGTCAGAGTAGTTAGATCTTTAGCTTTTATTCCTTTTTTTGTATTACTATCCATGTGTATAAATTATTGATCATGTTGCTGGCTTTTATAAACTCTAAGCAAGGGAGGAGTCCTTCCTCACCCTTTGCAAATGGTAATGAAGCACTGTTTTTAAATAAAAAGAGAGAAACACCACTCCTGGACTCCTGGATGTTTGTTTCCTGAGCTATACTCCCATCCCTTTTCTACATTGATTTGGAGGACTAATTTGACCCATTAAACGTAAAGCTAAGAGAAACCAGACTTGCAAGATTTATTGGGTTGCCAGGTCAACTCACCGTCACAGTGGGGGGATTTGGGGGGTGTTCTGGGGTGGGCGGCACATTGCTGGGTGACGTCCCCAACACAATGATGTCACCCAGAAGTGAAGTCACATGCAACACTGGTTTGGGGGCAAAACCTCTAGGGGTTTTTTTGGCTTCAAAACCATAAAGTTTGCCCGCAAACAAGAGCATTGTGTGCACCATTGCTGCCGTGATGATGCCACTTCTGGGTGATATCATCACATCAGGGATGTCACCTGGTGATGTCCCTATTTGGGGGCGGGGTTTTGCTTACCGGCCATCTGGGGGATTACAGGCCCCAAAAGCGAGGGACCCCCACTGGGACCAGGGGGCTGGCAACCCTAGAGCTTTGGTAGG